GTGTGTGTGTGTGTGTGTGTGTGTGTGTGTGTGTGTGTGTGTGTGTGTGTGTGTGTGTGCTTTCCTGGCTTATTTTTTCTTATAAGAACTTCTGAATTAATCCATCAATAAATTTTAGTCAATCAACATCTCAGAGCTCACTGACTCGTTTTCACCTTCCTCTTAATATCAAGCAATCCACCTCTTAAGTTCATTTTCACCCGTGGGCGGCTTCTGTTTTGTTTATTTTATTGTCGGGCAGAAGTGATTTATTGCTTTGTTTTCTCTCTAAATGATTTACCTCTGACTCTGCGTGCAACAAGTCTAGGATATCTCTGCTCTGCTTAATTGAACAGTAAAACAGAGCGGCGGTGCTTTTCCGTGTTTTTCAGGATTTCTGATGTCATTAAATGTGCTCTTGTGGCACCAAAAACATGACAGCTGCTGGTTTATAAAAGGCAAGATGTCCATCATTTCCCATCCCAGAGCCAGAAGTCTGTCAAAGTCCTTTCAGTCAAATGAGTCAGGGAAGTTTGCAGCATGGCACACTGCGGCGTGCTTCAACAGTTTGTTTCAACGCCGGCCAAGAAAGAGCTGGATTATCTGTGGTGTATATTACCCGCTGTTGCGCTCACAGCGGTGAGACCAGATTGTGTATGACGAGTGACCGTCGGTGCCCGCAATTCTACTCAAGGTCAACGGTCAGAGGCAACAAATTTAGAGCCACTGACAGCCAGGGGAGTTGTTGGTCATAATGATGGAGTCCTGATGAGAGAAGTCTCGGAAATGGATCTGTTTACTAGTTTGACCCCCAAAACAGCCTGCAGCCATTAACCTAGCATAAAGAGTGGTAGCTGGAAAACAACTAGTCTGATTCTGTTCAAGTGTAAAGCAGGGTGTGGTTTTACCGGAAGGGTACAAAAATGTTCTGACTTTGTGGGGTTTTGGTGGCTACTTTCACACTGATTTCGACCTTTGGTTATAGTCGGCTAGCCTTTTACTACAGTTCAAGTGTAACCGCCTGCTTGCTGTAGCTACATTTTTGCTCACCCGTGAGTGTCCTTTTCAAAATCTTGTCAACAATAAATACATGGTTAGTGACTCCG